CAGTGAGCACCAGTACTCAACAATCAGGTCCTTTGCAAAATCTCATTAAATGCTGACCTTTCATACTACTGAGGAGAGAAAACAGAAAGTGTCTGCATGCTTACATTTCCCTCTACTTTGTATTCTGCACTGCACACATTTTGTGCATTTTTGTTGGTAGTTTCACTGTTTAAAATTCAGCACCGTGTTCAAGTGCCATCTACGGTTCCTAAGTGCAGGCAGGCTGAGATGGGCCGCCTGGACAAAATATGTGTTCAGCACACTTTATTCAGGCATCGTTCTAGTTGCTGCCTGTGAGTTCACTGTTAACAAATCAACAATATATAGTAAATAAGGTGTCTCTACCAGAAACACACACGGAACACGGTTAGGTTGACAAAAATGTGGGCAGAGGCTCCCAGGGACCTAGTCCTGTATTCCCTGTAAGGGTTACAACTCAGGATTCACTAATTCAGCGTCAGTGGCCAGTTTACAGAACATAAATACTGTGAAAGATGACAGCTGGCTGTATTTTCTTTTATGCTGATTTTTTTTGCTATCATACAGAGAAAGGCCTTTTGCCTCTGAGAATATTTTTTATTCTTTTATTCTTTTTTATTTTATTATTTTAAAAAAACCCTAGTTGTCATCTAGTCCTTTAATGATTTTATTTTCTTATCCTTCCATCGGAGCTTCATTTGGAGTTTCCGACGTAGGGTATGGGAAAGTCGCACGTGTACATGCGGTTGTCCTAAAGCGACGTGTTGAGCAGGGCCTTTCCCTACTAAGGGATTTGAAGATCCGGGTACTTTGTTTAGATTATGGATGGTAAGAGTTCCAAAGTCACTGTATCTTCTGAAACTAGATTTATTTAAAAAACACTGACACGATAGAGATATTATCAAAGACTATTTCTACATGACATGTACCCCCGCCTCAAACCCCACACTGCTCGCACCATCTTTAACAAGCCGAAAGCCCTGGGCACGTGTCTGTTTCTCTCATCAGCATGGGGAGTGAATGTCAAGTTAGGCAGAGTGTATAACCTCAGACTTATGACTCCATGGGTGTAATCCTCAGGCAGTGGCTAGAAAGCAGTTTTGGGGGGGGCAGGCCTCACGTGGGAATCCCAGCTTGGCTTAGCCCTTAGTCTTAGATGTACCAGGCTGTGGTTTACCACTTGATTCAGAGACACGCTGAGCCAATATCTTCCAGGAAAATCAGTGATTAGAAAGACATGATCGCCCAGCCGGGCGTGGCTCAGCCATTGAGCGTCGACCTGGGATCCAGGAGATCGGGGTTCGATTCCCGGTCAGGGCACATGCCCGGGTTGTGGGCTGCAGCCGATCAATGACTCTCTCATCATTGATGTTTCTGTCTCTCTCTCTCCCTCTCCTTTCCTCTCTCTGAAATCAATAAAGATATATTAAAAAAAAAAAGAAAGAAAAAAAGAAAGACATGATCTATCTAAAGACAGGCTCTAGTAATGAAACACAGAACAGTTGAGGGGAAAAAAATCCATAATATTAATAAGAGGTTACAGGAAATCCATAATCTCTGGATCTTCTGTGGAAGGCATGAGAGCGGCTCAAGGTGAGCCACCAGGACAATGTATATACAAATATGAATCTCTCTAAAGTTAAAACAGTCGATTTCACAAGCAGTCGCTTTAATCCTGATTTATGCAGTCAACGTCAGGTCGATTTTGTTGGCAAAAGGCTCTGAAAAGATTGCCACCGTCTAAATATAGATTTGAGAACGTTTTCTAGTTTCTGACTTGATCACATGAATTTCTGCTATAAAGTGGGTACCGGCATGCCAAGGGCTCAGCTTCAGATTTCTGGTTTGGACAAAACTGAACAAGGCATCTGGAAAGGAAAGGCGCGATGGGCTGTCTCGCCACGCCACGCCACGCCACGCCACGCCACGCCACGCGGCGCCCCGGTACCTATGTCGGCGATGAGGCTGCCGGGCTTCTGCTCCTGCAGGAACTGGCGGACCCGCGGCCAGGCTTTGCTCTGCAGGTCGCTGAAGTAGGGCGCGGTGCTCTGGTACACGTCGTGCACGTGCCGCTTCTCCAGCCGGGCGGCCTCATGATCCATCCTGGGGACACAGGGCCACCCCCAGAAAGGCAGGTCAGAGACGGCTGAAGGAGGAGGCACAGTTCCTAAGACCGGGAACCGACAGCTGCCAGAGGCTGTGCGGATCTTACACTTCACTAGAAGCTGCAAAAACCTTCACTGCCATCTCACCACAGTTGTCAAAAGGCTAGAACATGCATGATTTTTACCTGCCGATCTTGAGAAAACAACGGTTTGGGAACGAGCTAATCATTGTCATTTCCTGCGCAAGATCAGTTCCAAGTTTGGGAAGCATATACCAAGGGTTCCCTTGGGTAAATCGTTCTGATGCTAAACAGATTGTAAAAATTTATAATGCGCAGCTCACCACTCCACTCCAGACACAAAGCCCGACTAGTTCTAACTTTAATGTTTCTGGATTCCAACCATTTCTCTACATCCCTGCTGATTCTATTTTAGAAAAGGTACTTCTTTCTTTCCTGAATTACTTCAACAGCCTATAAACAGGTGTTTTTTGGCCCTTCAATCCCTTTCTTCAATAAAATATAAATCTAATTTTGTTGCTGCCTGTCTTCAAAGGCATTCCATAGCTGGTTTGATCAATTCAGGTATCTTAGGGGGGTATGCAAGTCCCTTTGTGATCTGGCCTCAACTTGCCTCTTGAGGCCATTCCTCACCATCCTTTGCCAGCATCAGATGGGCCTGTAACACTCAATGATCCAAGGGCTGTGTCTATCCTGCTAACTCCGATTCGTTCTCGGCACAGGCATCACCTCTTCCAGAAAGCCTTCCCTGATCTTCCATGCAGGACAAGGGCAATCAGGAAGGAGTGAGAGGAGTACAAGAGCAGGTCTTACGGGCTGTTGTTTGGGGCTCAATCTTATCACTATTCTCTTGTGGCATGTGAGTGAGGAGTAGCCTAGGAAAGTAGCCAGGCCTCAGACGGCGGCTCTTTACCAATCAGCATGAAAGTAAGTTCAATCATATAGGCACCCATCTGGCCTTACTGGTGCAGACGGGCCAGTTCAGTCCTGCCCCCGGTGCTCCTGTCACATCCTGTGCAAACCTCTTGAGACTGGGGAAATATCCTGTTTCTCAGCCTCTCACCCACCAATTTTAGCATCCAATCCATCGATGACTCTTGCTTAAAACAATCACTACTATAATTATCACCAAATAATGATACAATAGTCTCCCATATCCAGTTTTGCTTTCTGAGGTTTGTTACTTGTGGTCAAACACAGTCCGAAAATATTAAATGAAAAATTCCAGAAAGAAACAATTTTTAAGTTGTAAGTTGTGCGCTGTTCTGAGTAGCCATCCCCCTACGCCCTGCCCAGGACGTGAATCATCACTTTGTCCAGCCTCTCCGCCTCCTTTCATCTCATCACAAAGGCACTGTATCATCTCACATCATCATAAGACAAGTGAGTGCAGTACAGTAAGATATTCTGAGAGAGAAAGAGACCACATCCACATAACTTTTATTACAATCTATTGTTATAACTCTTCTATTTTATTATAGTTATTGTTATTAATCTTATTGTGCCTAGTTTATAAATTTAACTTTATATCTGTGTATGTAAACTTCCTATATGTATAGGAAAAAACATAGTACATATAGGGTTCAGCATTATCGATGGTTCCAGGCATCCACTGCAGGGTACAGGGGACAACTGTATTCTAATTTCATCATTCCTGCTATCGCAAGAAAGAGACTGTCAGGATTTACTCTTCAAACAAATTAGCAGTAGGTTCTCCTTAATTACCATGGACCTGCCCACAGTCCCAGCAAAAAATCTGGCAAACTCCTAACAGAGTACAAATCTCATTTGTGAGGTCTGACAAAACTTCCACCCAAATTGAAACAGCTTATATTGCACCCTCAACGAGAATTTACAAAGTAAACATATGGCTGGCTACAACTGCCTACACACAAGAAAAACCAAAACACTGAGTGCTTTTCTTTTAAATCCAAATCTCAGCAGACTTGGGAAAAAAGTCTCAGTAGACTTAAGTCTGTTTAAAGTTTTTTCCTTTAAGAAATCAATCAGGAAATACAATTTTGAGAACCCTAGAACAAATATATTTCACTTCATTGCCCTTGCAGATGTTAAGTGGCAATCAACAAAAACTCAATTCGCTTCAATCTGGCTCTAATTACTAGCTCAGAACTTGTAGTATCTGAACAACATGCCTTGGAGAATGTTCTCTAAGTTCTCTGCCAAAGTGCCTGGTCTCTACCATAAACAAATAACTTCAAAGAGCTATTTTAAAGTGTGGGGACAATACAAATCCGTTCTGTTTTTATTATATTTTATAGTTAAGATTATATACTGCAGAATAAATAGCTGACTGTGAAACTGACTTGTAGCTAGGACTATCCAGTATGACATTTTTGACACTCTGTGGATTTAAATTTCCTGCAATATTTTCCATGTGAATTATATATACATACATATATGTATATATATGTGCAAATTCATTGTGAATTTGGTAATGTAATTAATCTAGTAAGACTTGTACTAAAATAAAAGTGAAGGGTTCAATAAGCTAGGGAGACAGGGTTTGGTTTAGCCACAAACAGATGAAAGGAGTCTTGTTGGAGGTCTCTGGCAACGGGACATAACGGGATGGCCCCGTCATGTTGGAACCAGTGTCAGCCTCAGAGGAGATCAGAGTTGTAATATGCTGCCAGCTTTCTTTTCATACGGCTACAACCTGGTATCCAAGCTGTTATTACAGCTTTCTGGTTGGTCTCTTTGCCCCCCTTGCCGCTTTCTCACCCCCCATATCTGCCGCCGCTAATATATTCATAATGCTAGGAGTTTGTAACCTTCCTT